CTCTGCTCTCTGCTCCTTGGCCCTGCCCCTGCCTGGTGGCAGGTCAGTGGGGGGTGGCATGTCGGTGGGGGCGTGGCAGGTCGGTGAGGGCGTGGCAGGTCGGTGGGGGGTGGCATGTCTGTGGGGGCGTGGCAGGTCGGTGGGGTATGCGGGGGAGGGGCACACCCAGGGCCAAAGTGCTGGCCTCCCAGGCGAGCGCCTCACTCCTGGCAGCCCTGGCCTGACCGACCGGCGAATGAGACTCAGGGCTGTGGCCACTGCTGAGGCCGCTTGCAGCTGGGCCTGGTCCCTGGCTGGCGTCCCCGCCTCCCTTCTCTGGAGCCCAGAGCTGGCCCAGGCCCCTGCTAGCTGGGCCTGACCTATGCCCGAGGCAGAGGGCAAGGGTCATCTCTGCAGAGGGTTACCGGGGCGACCTGGGGGCAGGGCCCACCATGCTGAAGGCTGGAGCTTCTTGGTGGGCAGAGTCTGGACAGCGAAGGGCTGGGGGGTCCCATGTCCCACCGCAGGGTCCCTGGCCTGGGAAGGGACAGCGGCTCTGGGAGACCCAGGGGTCCTGTGGCCCTGCTGGCCGAGGGTGCTGCTGCGTCTCCTAGGGAGCTGTGGAGAGCACACAGGTTCAGGGGTGTGTGGGTACCCCTCTTGCATGCTGGTCCCCACAGGCAGTGATTGGTGGTCCCGCAGAGCATGTGGGGAGGGTCCCCCGTGTGTGCCTGACCACGGCTGGTGGCTTGAGCCGGGTGTGGGTCCTGGGCGCTCAGGTCCCCGGCACCACAGCAGGTCCTGGGCGCAGGTCCCTGGGCACCACGGCAGGTCCTGGGCGCGGGTCCCAGGCGCGACGGCAGGTCCCAGGTGTGGGGCTGACGGAGTCCTGAGAGGCAGACTGAGCGCCTCGGATTCCTGGGCTCCTGGAGAGTTGGGGGCTCTGGCATCTGGGGGGCCCGGGGCCGCTGGGCTGGTGCAGAAACTGCCCCAGTGTGGAGCTCAGGCCGGGGCCCTGGGCGGGAGCCCCTGCTGATGGTCCTCCCTCCCCATTACGTGCAGACCTGCCAGGTGTGAGCAGGTGGGCTTCTGGGGCAGGAAGGGGGTGGTGGTTCTGTAGCCCTGGGGTCCTTGCGGGGGAGGCTGCGCCTGGTGAGGACCCTCTCAGAACGTCGGTGCCCAGCACGGAGGAGCTGTTTGCCGGTGGGTGGGGCACAGAGACGCCCTGGGGCAGGTCCGCTGGGCTGCTGGGGTCCTTCACTGTGGCCCAGGCAGGGCTGCAGGTCCCAGACCTTCATGCCTAGCGAGGCTTCCTCTCCAGGAACCTGGGGAGGCCCAGTTCCCTCCCTGAGCTCACTCGTGACTGAGGGCAGAGGAGACCCCTGCCTCGCCCTGTCCTCTTCCTGCTCCCATCCTGGCCCCTGACCCAGCTCCCGCCGGCCCGTCTCCAATCCTCCAGCCCTCTAACCAGAAATGGAGACGGGGCCCCTGGGATGCTGCAGGAAAGGCTGAGGAAGGTCCAGGCTCAGGTGAGGGAATATTGTTGTGGGGATGTGGATAAGGGACAGTTGGTGTTGGGATGTTGTTGAGGGGAAAGTTGGTTTGGGGTCTTTGGTATGGTGACTTAGATGAGCAGATATTGGTGTGGGGACATTGGTGTGGGGACATTGGTGTGGGGATGTTGGTGTGGGAACCTTGGTGTGTGGACTTATGTGTGAAGACAGTGTGGGGGGGAATTTGAGTGAAGATGTTGGTGAGGGGACGTTGGTGAGGGGACGTTGGTGAGGGGATGTTGGTGAGGGGACGTTGGCGAGGGGATGGTCAGGGGGCATTTGTGCAGGACATCGGTGAAGGATGTGGATGTAGGGATGTTGGTGAGGGCATGTTGGTTGGGGATGCTGTTGTGGGGAATGTTGGTGCTGGGGTGATGGCATGGGGACATTGGCAGGGGGACTTTGGTGTGGGGATGTTGGTGTGAGGCCCTTGCTGAGGGGAAGTTGGTCTGGGGATATTGGTGAGGGGACATTGGTGAGGAAACAGCAGTGTGGAGACACTGGTGTAAGGCCACTGGTGAGGGGACATTGGTGTGGAGACACTGGTGTAAGGCCACCGGTGAGGGGACATTGGTGAGGGGACATTGGTGAGGAGACAGTGGTGTGGAGACACTGGTGTAAGGCCACTGGTGAGGGGACATTGGTGTGGAGACACTGGTGTAAGGCCACTGGTGAGGGGACATTGGTGAGGAAACAGTGGTGTGGAGACATTGGTGTAAGGCCACTGGTGAGGGGACATTGGTGAGGAAACAGCGGTGTGGAGACATTGGTGTAAGGCTACTGGTGAGGGGACACTGGTGAGGGGACATTGGTGAGGAAACAGCGGTGTGGAGACACTGGTGTAAGGCCACCGGTGAGGGGACATTGGTGAGGGTTTGTCAGTGAGAGGATGCTGGTGAGATGTTGCTAACAGGACAATGGTGTGAAGATGTTGGTGAGGGAACGGTGGTGAGAGGAATGTTGGTGTGGGGACCTTGGCGAGGATCCATTGGTGGGGGGACCTTGATTTGGGGAGATTTATCAGGGGACAGTAGTGAGGGAATATTGGTGAAATTATGTTGAGGGCATTGTTTTGGGGAATGTTGGTGGGGGACTTAGTTGTGGTTATGCTGGTGAGGGGACTTTGGCGTGGGCTGTGATGAGGGCCCCTTGGTTGGGGGATGTTGGTGAGGGAAGGTTATGTGAGGACAGTGTGAGGGGACATCTGTGAGAGGATCTTGGTGAGGGGATATTGTTGTGGGGATGCTGGTAAGGGATGGCTGGTTGTGGGATATTGGTGGGAGGAATGCCAGTTTGGCAATGTTGGTATGGGGACATTGGTCCCCATTGGTAGGGGACATTGTGGTGAATGTTGAAGGGACTATGGCTATGTTGGTGAGGGGACATTGGTATGGGGATGTTGTCTTAAGAAGTTGGTGTTGAGCCATTGGTAGTGGCACATTCAATAGGGGACTTGGTCAGGGGACATTTGTGAGGAGAACGTTGGTTTGGAGACATCCTATGGGGACATTGGTGAGGGGACTTTGGAGACATTGGCATGAGGATGTTGGTGAGGAAACATAGTTGTGGGGATATTTGTGAGGGGACATTGTTGAGGGGTTGTTGATTTGGGGACATTTTTAAGGAGATGTTGGTGAGGGAACATTGGTGTGGGGACACTGTTGATGTGACGTTGGTGGAGGGATGTTGGTGAGGGGACATTGGTGTGGGGACATTGGTGAGCGGACATGGTGAGGGAATGTTGAAGAGATGTCGGTATAGGGACATTCAAGTTGGGATTTGGTAAAGGGACATATTTTGGGGATATTTTTATGGAGATGTTCACATGAAGATGTTGGTGAAGGAACAATGTTGGAAGGTTGTTGTTGGGGGGACAGTGGTTTTTTTGATTTGGTGAGGTGACTAGCTGAAGGGACATGGGCAAAGTCTCGTTTGGGAGGGCACACTGGTGTGGGGACATTGTCTTGGGCTGTCTGTGAGGTGGGGCTGGTGTGCGACACTGGCGTGCGGGTGTTGATGAGAAGGTGTTGAGGGCATGTTGTTGTGCAGACTCTGGTGTGGGGACAGTGGAGAGCGGACCTTGGTATGTGGATGTCGTTGAGGGGACGTTGTTTAGGGGACATTCGTGTGGGGAAGACAGTGAGGGACGTTGGGGAGGGCACCTTGCTGCAGAGATGCTGGGGTGGGATCAGGTGAAGGGACGTCGGTGGGAGGACACTGGTAGGGGATGTTGCTGGGTGGACCCCACGGTGCCAAGTCCCTTCCAGTGGCCCTGCTGTGCTTTCAGGAGTGTCATGGGATCAACCACGTCCCCCAGATTGACACGTTGCCTCCTGACCTCCAGTTCCTGAGAACGTGACCTTGCTTGGAAACGGTCTTTGCAGATGCACTTGGTCAGGAGGAGGTCGCACTGGCCGGTGGCCCTAGTCCAGCATGACTGGTGTCCTCACTCAAAGGGGGTCTGGACACAGACATGCACGCAGGGGGATGCCGTGTGAAGACTGGAGTGACGCTGCCACATGCCAAGGAGCTACCAGAGCGGGAGGGAGCCTGGCACAGACCCTTCTCCCTGTGGCACAGTGCCAACCCCCGATCTCGGGCCTCGGCTTCCATAGCAGAGACGACGCAGCCTGTTGCTTAAGCCGGCCAGCCTGTGGTGCCTCGTCCTGGTGGCCAGGCCGAGTCGGCACAGGGAGGGCGGAGCGTCCACCTGTGGTTCAGTACCTACCTGTCGTCTTTGTACCTACCTACCTACCTCCCTATCATCTATGTACCTACCTATCATCTATGTACATACCTGTCATCTAAGTACCTATCACCTACCTGCCTACCTATCATCTATGTACCTACCTGTCATCTATGTACTACCTATCACCTACTACCTACCTATCATCTATATACCTACCACCTACCTACCTGTCATCTATGTACCTATCACCTACCTACCTCCTACCTATCATCTTTGTACCTACCTATCACCTACTACCTACCTATCATCTATATACCTACCACCTACCTACCTGTCATCTTTATACCTACCTATCACCTATCTACCTACCTACCTGTCATCTTTGTACCTATCACCTACCTACCTACCTGTCATCTATGTACCCTACCTATCATCTATGTACCTATCACCTGTCCTTTGTCACCCACCAACCATCTGTCAGGGTGGAGGAAGAGCTCGCTGCTCAATGGCATCGTTTTCAGCCCATAGCCGACTGGCCGGTGGAGTCCATGGCTGAGCTGACCCGTCTACGCACGTGGGGGCTGTGCGGGCGGTCAGCGCCTGGCGCCGACACCCGGCCCCACTAGGGCAGAGCTGGGCCGGGGGTTCGGGGGACATGGGGCACAGCACCCTGGCGGGTGTGTGGACGGTCGCCACGTCCCCTCACGGGCTGGAGGTGGCGTGCGGGCAGACCCCGGCAGGAGGGGCCCCGGGTGCGAGCTCGGGAGCTGGCGAGTGGCTGGGTTCAAAGCCTTTATTGGACCAAGAGGCCTGTGCCCGGCAGGGTCCCAGGGCCGCTGCGGGGGCTCGGGGCGGGGCAGGTGAGGAGAGCCCGGGGCGGGCAGGTGGGGCTGGCAGGGGACCTTCCAAAAGGCCACAGGTGGACACTGGGTGCCACGGGAGGCCCAGGGGCCTGCGGAGGGCTGGGGGCTGTGGCGTGGGGAGCCGGGGCAGGCGGGCAGGTGGGGAGGAGAGGCTGGGCGGCAGCTAGGCTGCTGGGGGCCGCGGGCCGTGCGCTCCCCCGGCTTCCGGCCCAGCGCGGCCTGCGCCCACGCCGCGAGGAGCCCCGGGCGCGCGGGCGGACCCTGAGTCTGCAGCCCGGCCGGGCCGCCGGGCAGGGGTCTGGTTAGCACCGTGGCCGGGAGGGGGTGGGCTCAGGACCCGGCTGCCGGGTGGCGGGCCCGGCGCGCGGGCAGTGGGCGGGCCGGCGCTAACAGATCCACCGGATGAACCTGTCGAAGAAGCCGGGCTGCACCAGGCTGTCGTAGTCCTTCTCGCGGAAGATGGCGGCGCGGTCGCCCAGGCTGAGGGTGGTGAGCACGTCCATGTCCACGTCGCCGCCCACGGCCACCACGGTGGGCACCACGTTCTGCTTGCGCATGGAGTGCACCGCCTCCTCCAGGCTGCCGTTGCCCGTGACGCCGTCCGTGAGGAACACGAAGGACAGCTCGGCGTGCCGGCGGGCCCCGCCCCGCGGGCTGCGCACCACGTTGTTGATGGCGTGCACGATGCCCGCGCCCACGTGGGAGAAGGAGTCCAGGTAGCGGGCGCCCTCCAGGCCCTCGTGGATGGCGGTCAGGTTGGAGGTCAGCGGGAAGGCCACCTGCTGCTCGCCCTGGCCGCCGAACTGCAGCAGCGCCACGCGGGCGTGCAGGGGGTCGTCGTCCCGGCGGGCCAGCGTCAGCCGCCGGGAGGCCTCCTCCACGAAGCGCCGCGCCTTGTGGAAGTTCTGCTCGCCCAGCCGCTCGGAGCCGTCCAGCAGGAAGACGATGTCCACGGGCCGCTGCGTGCACTGCGCCACGTACAGCTCTGCGGGGACACGCGTGGGGCGCGGGCTGGGCTCGAGGGGACCCCAAAGCCGGCGCTGGCCCGGCCGGGCCCCCAGCCCCACACACCCCCAACGGGGCCCCAAGGACCAGGGTGAAGCTCTGGGGGATTGGCCGCAGCTGGCGGTGGGGCCAGCACTGGCAGCGTGGCCACGAGCACCTGCCACCAGACCCGGCGTGTCCTCCCAGCAGGGCACGTCCCTACACCTGAGCGTCACAGACCCGCCAGAGGCCAGAGGCCCCGCGCCACCTGCTAAGTGCCGTCCCATCCCGGGATGCCCCCTCCAGGCCCTCCTGGGAGGGACGGGCCCGAAAGGCCCCTTCTCGTGACCCAAGAATCTGCTGCCCACAGAACAGCCACCATCGTGTGGAGTGGCGGGGGCCTCAGGGAGACCAGCCTGACCCCTGCTCGCCGGGCTCAGCCTCCCGTACTGCTGGGCACACGCCCCCCCAGGGCACACCTCTCCTGGAGAGACCAGAACCTGTGGCCCCCTGACCCGCCACGGCAGCCACGGTGCAGGTGTGGCCCGGCCCAGGACTCCCTGTGGCCAGAGGGTCCCTCCCGTCCTGTGGGGTCACGGGCCCTGCACACGCCGGGCCGCAGCCTTGCACAATTAAGCTTTTTTTTTTTTTGAAACAAAGTCTCACTCTGTTGCCCGGGCTAGAGTGCTGTGGCATCAGCCTTGCTCACAGCAACCTCAAACTCCTGGGCTCCAGCGATCCTCCTGCCTCAGCCTCCTGAGTAGCTGGGACTACAGGCATGCGCCACCATGCCCGGCTAATTTTTTCTCTATATATTTTAATTGTCCAGCTAATTTCTTTCTATTTTTAGTAGAGACTGGGTCTCGCTCTTGCTCAGGCTGGTCTTGAACGCCTGAGCTTAAATGGTCCACCCTGCCTCGGCCTCCCAGAGGGCTGGGATTACAGGAGTGAGCCACTGCGCCCAGCCACGATTAAGCTTTTATGAAATGTCCACGGTAGGTTGCCCACGCTGTGGCCGCCCTCAGTGCAGCTGGCAACGGGGTTCCCTAAGGAGCGAGTTCACGACGCGGCTTCCCTCTGAGGCCGGTGCCCCCAAAGCTCACTCGGCACACCCAGACGTTCTCAGGCACTGCCGGGCTTCCCAGGCCCTTCCAAACCAACGAGCATTTCCACCGTTGTCACCACAAGCACGAGACAGACACGCGGCTGGCGCTGGGGGCCCCGGTGAGCGCACGGTGGGGGGGGGCCTGGGGACAGACACGCGGCTGGCGCTGGGGGCCCCGGTGAGCGCACGGGGGGGGGGGCCTGGGGGCCGTGTGAACCGGCACGGGCACAACTGAGTCTCCGGGTCGCCCGCGGTGCCCTTCCTCCGGCTGCTGGACCCGGCGGGAGTCCGGCCCGGCCCACCGCGGGCCGCTGGAGTGTAGACGAGGCCCCACCCCAGAAGGGGCCCCACCCCAAGCCCGGGGAGCACGGGCAGGAGCGTGGGCGGATGCCACGTCCAGTCGAGGCGCCCTGGAAAGGTCCCGGGTCTGGGCTCGCCTGCCGCTGCCCGAGGGGAGGGCCACCCCACACTGGCGCCCCCACGGCACCCCCCGACCCCAATTGCGTCCGGACACCCAGAGGCGGGGGAGGGGCAGTGCGAAGGCGCCCGGGAACCGGCACGGCGGCAGGCGGCTTTGGCGTCCGGTGCCAGGACTTGCGGGTCCCATGAGGACCGTCTGCTGCCCGGCCCATTGCCTTCACACGGTGCCAGGCGAGCACACACGGGCCCCACACACGGCCGTGCCCACCCTCGGCCAGGCTGCGACCAGCTCTGGGCCCATTCCCAGGCCCGCCCAGAAGTGTGTGGGGTGGGGGGGACGTCCTCCCTCAGCCTGGCCACCCCCCGTGCGCGGGGCTGGGCGCTGACTGGAGGCCCCGGCGAGGCCCCGGCCGTGCCCCCGGGCTGTGGGTGCCGCGTGGCAAGGAAGACTCTGCAGACTGTGGAGTCGGCATCTCGAGACGTGATCGTCTGGACTGGGGCCTCAGACGCCACCACGGGCGATCTCAGAAAGAGAGGAGGACACAGACCCGGGAGAGGGGCCCACGCGAAGGTGGAGTCGCGGCCACGGGCCACGGAACGTGGCAGCCCCAGGAGCTGGAAGAGGCAGGAAGGAGCCTCCGCCGTGACAACACTGGATTCTGCCCCCGCATGTCCAGGAGGCGCAAGGAGACCCCGCAGTCCTGGCCCCGCCACCATGGCGCGCAGCCCGGAGGCCGTGCAGCCCCGGAGGCGGGCGGGGCCCAGCGTGGGCCGTACGGGCGGCGGAGGCTTCAGCAGAGCGCCAGCGCGGTCTCGGGGTCGCCCACGATGTCCCTGTGCACCAGCTTGAAGGTGTCGATGAACAGCTCCATCCAGTCCTGCCGCTCCTGCCCCGTGGCGAACTTGGCGCGCTCCGCGGTGTAGACCAGCACGGCCACCAGCTGGGAGTAGGCGGCCGGGTCCTGCGTGAGCTCCGTGGCGTTCAGCAGCTGCTGGATCAGGGGGACGGTCCGGGGGAAGCTGGCGTCCGGCCCCTCCTCCGTGCGCTGGAAGGTGACCAGGGGCTCGCCCCCGGGCCACGGCGCACCTGCAAGGGAGCGTCCAGACCACACCCTGAGGCCCCTCCCCGGCCGGGCGGGCAGGGCCGGAAGGAGCGAGGAGCCGCCGGGCGGCCGGGCGGCGCCTCGTGGAGGAGATGCGGCCGGCGGCGTCCCGGCCTGGTCTGGGCCTCGGGTGGGGCCGGGGCCTGGGGAAGGGGCGCCGCGGGGGACAGTGTGGCCCAGGAACCTCCCTCTCGGTGCAGAGCGGCCCTGGCCAGGCCGTCGCAGGCGTGGCCACGTCCCAGCGCGGCTTCCAGCCCGACAGCTCCCACGGAACAGTGCGCAGCTGTGACCCTACCTCCCGCGCTGGCTCCTTGGAGACACGACGGCTCTCTGACTGCAAACAGCCGGGGAGGGCCCAGCTCTCTGTGCGTCCCTGCCTGACCCTCTGTCTCTGTCTGTCTGTGTCTCTGTGTCTTTGTCTCTCTGTGTCTCTGTCTATTGGTCTCTGCCTTTGTGTCTCTGTCTCTGTGTCTCTGTCTCTGTGACTGTCTCTGTCTTTGTGACTCTGTCTCTGTGTCTGTGTCTCTGTGTATTTATCTCTGTCTCTCTGTATCTCTGTATCTCTGTCTATTGGTCTCTGCCTTTGTGTCCCTGTCTCTGTGTCTCTGTCTCTGTGACTCTGTCTCTGTGTCTATCTGTGTCTCTGTGTCTTTATCTCTGTCTCTCTGTGTCTCTATTTCTCTGTCTATTGGTCTCTGCCTTTGTGTCCCTGTCTCTGTGTCTCTGTCTCTTTGACTGTCTCTCTGTCTTTGTGACTCTGTCTCTGTGTCTGTGTCTCTGTCTCTGTGTCTTTATCTCTGTCTCTGTGTCTCTGTATGTCTGTCTATTGATCTCTGTCTTTGTGTCCCTGTCTCTGTGTCCCTGTCTCTGTGTGTCTGTCTCTGTGACTCTATCTCTGACTCTCTGCCTCTGTGTGTCTGTCTCTGTCTCTCTGTCTCTGTGACTCTCTCTGTGACTCTGTCTCTCTGTGTCTGTCTCTGTGACTCTGTCTCTGTCTCTCCCCGGCTCCCGGGCCTGCAGGCGAGGAGGCCTGACTCTGGGGGGGCCTGGCTCTACTCACCTGCTCCGTGGCCCCTGGTCAGGAGACCTGGGTTTGCTTCTCCCGCTAGTAGGCGCCACCAGCAATCGCGCCGGCCCAGTCATGGCGACCAGCCCCCCGGAGGCCCCGGAGCCCCCAGACCCCGCTTTGTTTGGGGCCTCGCAGAGTCCAGGCCTTGTGTTTCCTCCCGGCGAGCTCAGGCTGCACCGGGGCCTCCCCGACCCCGGCCACCGCTGAACACACCTGACTGCGCGGCCTCTCCCTGCCCCCACCGCGACAAGGCCTCGCCTGGCGCCCGCCTGGGTCGGCGGCTCCCGGGTGGACGAGGCTGTCTGGCCTCAGCGGCCGTGTCGGCTGGCGCGGCCTGCCACTCAGGGATGCCGTGAGGGCGCCCCGAGGCCTCCCCACGGCCACGGTGCCTGCCTTGCCACGCTCCTCGTGCTTTAGCGGAGCACCAGCCCTGCGAGTCTGGTGGGGGCGGCTAAGGGGCCAGGATGGAGGGTCCGGCGCCACGCACAGGCTGCCGGGGGCCACACGCCATCCTGCCCTGGTGGCCAGAGTTGCAAGGCCCCCGCTCCCCCCTGCCCACCCTGGCGAGGCCCCCGACGGCCCGACGGCCCGAGTCGCCGACCCCGGAACAGAAGACATCAGGAAAGGGAGACCGCAGACGCCCGTCTCTCGTGGACGCAAGGAAAACCCCAACAAAGCACCAGCAAATCCAGCCCCACCACGCGTGGAGACGACCACACACCACGGCCAAGCGGGACCTGATGCGGGGACGCAAGCTGGCGGACACCGGACATCCGTCCACGCGGCCATCGCGCCAACAGGCTGCAGCCAAGAAGCCATGTGACCCTCCGCAGCGGCAGGGAACGGCCCGGCGGCAAACCTAGCCCAGCCACGGTGCACGCCGGGTGGTTGGAGTGCCACTTCCCCAGGGAGCCCGCAAGGCACCTGCGGCCAGCGTCACCCTGGCGGGAGACTATGACGCCCGTCTGCCTTCAGGGCTTGGCGACCCTGGGGCTGAGGTCGGCATCCGCTGCCCAAGTGCCAACCCTGGCAGACCGCAGGGAGCCCACGCTGGGGGACCAGGCTGCAGCCGCCCGGCGCTGCCGCCCCTCACCTGGGGCTTGGATGGGGCCATGCGAGCCAGGGTGCAGGGCCTGTGGGTGGCGTCTCGGTGCAGCCCCAGCTCCCCGGCCTTTGGCAAAGACCACGGCTGGCACGTCCCCGCCGGCCTGGGCTCCCCACACCATCCCCGACAGCCTGGGCAGGCAGCTGAGGCCAAGGGACAGCCACGTGGACACTTCCCGGGGAATGTTCTCTCCACACAGCATGTTAGGCACTCCTGACCCCGAGTCCATGTGGCTCCTTCCCGTGGGCTCTGGCTGTGGGCTCGCGTGCTGGGCCACGTCATAGCGTGAGGGCTCCCACACTATCTCCACGGCGACCCGCCCTTCCACAGCAGGCTCTGGGGTCCCCACCTCAATGCCCCCCGGGGGGACAGGGGTCACCGAAGAGGGAGCTTGGCCCCTGGCACCCCTGTGGGCCCGTCCCGGGGCAGTCACAACCATAGGGCAGCAGCCCTGGCACCCCCAGACGTCGCCCCACCCCCAAGTGGGCCCGAGATGCAGCCATGTCAGGAACACAGGCTCCCACGGGCAGGCCACCTCCGCTCCCAGAGATAATGAGCGCTCGGCGCCCGTGGAGCTGGACGGCCCCGGGTGTCCACCCCTCCCAGATGGTGGGGAGACTTTGAGGCCCGGAAATGGGCCTCCTTTAGTGGTGAAGCCACCTTCCGGACCAGTGCCTGCAGGCTACCTGCAGCGCCAGGCGAGGGGACTAGTGACACCATCACCTCTGCCCTTCCCTGAGCCCCTCAGCTGGGCTCGGGGACCTGGGCACTGAGACCGGATCCCTCGGGTGTCTCCCTAAGGAGCAGCCTCTGCCCCACACTCCCTCGGGGGTCCCCACACGGGCCCTCCTCCCCCAGCCCCAGCCCGCGGGAAGGATGCCCCTCGGGACTGCTCTGCAGGCCGGGGTGGGGGCTCTGGTCCCTGCGTTACCTGTTTGGCAGGGGAGGTCAGGGCACACCATCTGCGGGTCTGGAAGAAAGGAAAGAGCCCGGGGCCACGTCAGTCCTGCCAGGCCCTTGGCACCAGCCCATGGACCTGCCCACGGCCCTCTCCATGGACCAACCCACAGACCAGCCCACGGCCCTGTCCACGGACCAGCCCACAGACCAGCCCATAGCCCTGTCCACAGACCAGCCCACGGCCCTGTCCATGGACCAGCCCACAGACCAGCCCATAGCCCTGTCCACAGACCTTCCCACGGCCCTATCCACGGACCAGCCCACAGACAAGCTCACGGCCCTGTCCACGGACCAGCCCACAGACCTGCCCACGGCCCTGTCCACGGACCAGCCCACAGACAAGCCCACGGCCAGGGCTCCGGGAGGGTTGGACTCTGCCCACTGCGACGGCCCCACCCCCTCCCCACCTGGACGCCTGGCGTCCTGAGCGCATCTGTCCTCAGACCGGGGTCCCCGGGGCAGCCGAGGGGGGTGCACGGCCTCTGGGGGCCGCGGCCGCCCCTGCCCGCGCAGGCCCTGCGCCCTCACCCGGGCAGAGCACGTCCTCCATGTCGTCGATGAACTTCTCGGCCACCAGGTCGGAGAAGAGCGTCATGTTGCGCACCTGCTGCGGCTGGTCGCAGGCGATGGACTTGAGGTTCTCGTTCTCGTGACGCTCGTGGAACATGTCGCCGATGCCGATAGCCGTCACCGTGACGTCGCGGTCGCACAGCGCCCGCAGGTTGAGGTCGTCGTCGCGCGGGTCGTGGCGCCCGTCCGTGATGACCACGGCGAACACGCGGGTCTTCTGTCGCCGGCTCTCCTTGATGAGCCGGTCGTAGGCGAACTTGAGGGCCGAGGGCGTCCAGGTGCCGCCTGCAATCCACTCGAGGTTCTTGACGGCCTCCTTGAAGCTGGACAGCGAGTCGATGCGCGCGTCGTCCAGCTGGATGGCCTCGAAGGTGCCCTCGTGGCTGTACTGCACCACGCCCACGCGCGTGCCTGCAAAGGGCGCTGTCAGCCGCCCGCCCCGAAGCTGGGCTGGTCCATGGACAGGGCCGTGGTCAGGTCTGTGGGCTGGTCCGTGGACAGGGCGTGGGCTGGTCGTGGCAGCCATGGGAAAGTCTGTTGGGCTGGTCCATTGGGACAGGGCCGTGGGCTGGTCTGGTGGACAGAGGCTATGGGGCTGGTCTGTGGGCTGGTCCATTGGACAGGGCCGTGGGCCGGTCTGTGGGTTGGCCATGGAGAGGCCGTGGGCAGGGCCGTGGGCTTGTCGTGGACAGGGTCCGGGCAGGTCCATGGGCTGGTGCCAAGGCCTGGCAGGACTGACGTGGCCCGGGCTTCTTTCCTTTTTCCAGACCCCGCAGATGGTTGCCCTGACCCTTCCCCTGCACAAACAGGTAACGCAGGGGACCAGGCCCCCACCCGGCCTGCAGAGCAGTCCGAGGGGCATCCTCCGCGGGGGCTGGGGGATGGGGAGGAGGCGCCCGTGTGGGGACCCCCGGAGGGAGTGTGGGGCAGAGGGCTGCTCCTTAGGGAGACACCCGGAGGATCCAGGTCTCAGTGCATCAGGTCCCCGAGCCCAGCTGAGGGGCTCAGGGAAGGGCAGAAGGTGATCGGTCACTAGTCCCCTCGCCTGGCCGCTGCAGGAGCCTGCAGCCATGGGTCGGAAGGTGGCTTCACCACTAAAGGAGGGCCCCATTTCTGGGCTCAAAGTCTCCCACCATTGCGGGTCTGGAAGAAGAAAGAAGAGGCCGGGGCACGTCAGTCCTGCCAGGCCCTTGGCACCAGCCCATGGGCCTGCCCGTGACCCTGTCCACGACACGCCCACGGCCGCCCACGGCCCTCTCCATGGACCAACCCAAGACGGGCCCACGGGCCCATGTCCATGGGACCAGCCCACAGGACCAGCCATAGCCCTGTCCACAGACCAGCCAGGGCCATCGGTCATGGACAGGACCACAGACTTCCCATGGCCTGTCCACGGACCAGCCCACGGCCCTGGTCCACGGACCAGCCCACAGACCTGACCACTGCCCTTGTCCAATGGACCAGCCCATAGGCTCGCCCATGCCCTTCCGCGGACCAGCCCACGGGCCCTGTCCACGGACCAGTCCACAGACCAGCCCACAGCTCTGCCCACAGCCTTGTCCATAGACCAGCCCACAGACAAACCCACAGCCAGTCCACGGGACCAGCCTACTAACGGCCTGTCCCACTGACCAGCCCACAGACAAGCCACGCCCTGTCCACGGACCAGCCACAGACAAGCACGGCCCTGTCCACGACCAGCCACATGACAAGCCACGGGCCCTCGGACCAGCCACAGGGGACAGCACGCGGCCCTGAGTCCACGGACCAGCCACAGACAAGCCCACGGCCCTGTCCAGGACAGCCCACAGGACAAGCTCAGGCCTGCCAGGGACCAGCCCACAGACCTGCCCACGCGGCCTGTTCCACGGACCAGCCACAGACAAGCCACGGCCAGGGCTCCGGGAGGGTTGGACTCTGACCCAGTGGACGGCCCCACCCTCCCCACCTGGACGCCTGCGCGTCTCTGAGCGCGTCTGTCCCTTCAGACCTTGGTCCCCGGGGCAGCGAGGGAGTGTGCACGGCTCTGGGGGGCCGGCCGCCCCCTGCCCGCGCAGGCCCTGCGCCCATCACCGCGGGGCAGAGCAACGTCACTCCATGTCGTCGATGAACTTCTCGGCCACAGGTCGGAGAGAGCGTTCATGTTGCGGCACCTGCTGCGGCTGGTCGCAGGCGATGGACTTGGAGGTTTCTCGTTCTCGTTGTACGCTCGTGGAACATGTCGCCGGATGCGAATGGGCGTCCACGTGACGTCGCGGTCGACAGGCACCGCAGGGTTGAAGGTCGTCGTCGCCGCGGTCGTGGCGGC